TATGAGGTGAAAATCTCATGTACGGTCTACCTTCAAATGGTTGTGAACTATATCTCGCAGAATGCAGACCATAAGTCAAGTCAAACGGAAGAATATTTTTCATAAATGAAGTGCTCCGAATATCCATTCTCATCTGTGGACAATCCAAGAGAAATTTATAGTTGTATCCATTGTGCAGAAGTACTGCTCTTTGATCAACTGATCAAGTGCTTCTTGATCCATTGACAACATCACCATAGAGTAAAGATTCTCTTCTTGATCCGTTGACAACATCATCATAGAGGAAAGATTCTTACTGCAGTCTTGTTTGCATCTGTTCCAGATCTCAAATCTTTGAGGCCTAGCCCCCCTTTAGATTTAAGTTTTACATCTTTTCAGCTTATTTCTGTGTGGGACCATAATGATCAGTTGCATAGCTGGTTTATGTCTTTGCCGCCTTCCTTTGGTAACACAACCACACTACATGGTATATAAGACTGGACTCAGAAGTTGGATTCTTTCAGCGTTAGACATATTCTAGCAGAGCAGGAGTGGATCCTTGCTCATTGTCTCAATCAGTGGTGTGCAATATGTTATTGTAAATGTAGAATTGTAGATGCACTAATGGGATCACCTCATCACCAGCTAGATATTAGGATGTATAACTAATGAAAGAGTAACTGAGCACACGAGCTATTTCGTTGATTTCTGATCCAACCTCAATAGAGATGCCACTTGTAAAGGACGCCAATATTAAGCTCTCGTGTGATGTAACCGTCACAAGTTCGAGTCAGATTTAATTTGATAGTGTCTTCCTGAAATTTATTATTTTTGTTACGAGAAAACTTTTTATTTATAAGAACAGTTCACACAATGTTGAACCTCTCTTAGAAAGTTGTCTAACTTTGCGCAGTTTTATCTTGATACAGACAAGTCTTATGTACAAGCTTGGGATGGCTATAGTCCGAAGGCGTAGGTTTCGGCTGACCATATTTCCTGGATCCATTGATCATGCCTTGTTGGTGGCTTTGATTGTAATATACTACCAGGGAAATATATAAATACTAAAACATTCACATACATGTATACATTCTTTGCTCTGTGTGGTTGGATTACCTATCACCTTTCTCTCCTACAGCACCTTCAGAGTTACATGGGCCTGCAGAGATTGGTCTCATTGTACATATGTAAATCAACCTTTGCACCTACCACTTTTTTTTGTTAACAATATCAAAGTGAAGGAAAGAGTTTAAAGTTGATGATCCCAAAGTTGGATCTTCCTCATCCCCCTGGAGGCAAATAATGATAGAGAACTTGGAAGTCACCTGCGTGCGACTTCGAAGTCATGAGAGTGAATGATGGAGATGATGACATGATATAGAAGATAATGACGATAATTACCACAGATTTCCTTCTGAAACTAAGACTTGGAAACATGTTTGTATATTTTTCAATTATGAAGTTTCTTGATGGAGTGCTGTTGTTTGGAAGTGGAATGATGTGAAAGAGGGGGGTGTGAGAGGGAGACTTCGGAGATTCTTAACAGAGTTTTGTAAATCATTTACCATACAACATTTTTCATACAAAATATAAGCTTATTTTCAGATTTTGGGTTTCTTTGAGTTACTCTTATTTCAATCAGTTTCATACTGTATAGGTTTCTCTTTGAAAACATTGTGTATATCATACATAACAGTAAGATACTGACAACTATTTCATACTGTTGTAGATACTTTGAGTTCTGAAAGGGAGCAGCCTTACCATAGATTCTAAAATTAGGTGGGAAGTATATCATATACTGTAAATGGTTAAATCCAATGATTATTTATTTTGATGGGAGATATCGACAAGGAAACCAAGGGACAGAACACTTATTCAGTCATGCAGTCATGAGTCATGAACCACATAACCACAATATTCAATATGGTGTTGAATGCTACTGCAGTTCTACAAAACACCCAAATGCAATCAAACATTCATAACTACACAGTATTTCACTGATAACAACATGCTGAAATGTGTCAATTTCACCAATGAGAAACCTCTGCACGACATTCCCTTTAAAATCCATGGCGAGGCAGAAGAAGTTCCGAGACTTGTATGTGAGTTTTGAACTTCAAATATGATGCAGAGTCAGTAATATAACAACACTATAACAAATGTATATAAAACCTGGTTCAGGTGCAAATCTGCAGAAATGTCAACTCAAATGAAAACTTCTAATTCCTGGAATATGCAGTAAACACATATAATAATTAGCCTCTAGATGGTCCCTGGTCTTTAAACTTGATAAAATGATCAATAAACAGAATCCAATTTTAATTGAAATACTAACAATATAACATAATATGTTAATGAAGTAGTGGGAAACATATGTAAATATTAATTGGTCGGCCAGATTACCATCATCATACCAATCAAAACTCACCACAATTACCACTGCAAGCAGCATTGCTACCTAATCTCATGCTAATGCTTAGACTAATTAAATAT